CACCGAAAATTGATCTCCTCTGGTCTGCTAAATTTTGAAAATATGGAAATGAACCAGACATGATCCAAACCCTCACAATTCTCACAGTACTTGGGGAGAAGAGAAACAACCCCCCAACGAATAGCATGTCAGTGTTTTCTTCCTTTAGGATACTTTGAGCAACCAGAGTGAAGCTGGAACTACAGCACATTTGGAGTTTTGCATACTGACAAAGCAGGAGAAGGGCCATCCCAGCATAAGGAGCAGCATACACAAATAGACACTTTTCCTGTAGAGTTTCTTCTTACAATTATGTAACTATGGGAATAATAACAATTAACATGGATTGAGCTGTTAACTTTTTGCCAGATGCAGGTATTGAATCTTCATCAAATCCTCTGTCCTTATAAGCTAGGTATTATCTCCACTTAACAGATAAGAAAACTGAGGCACAGGGAGTGAAGCGGCTTGCCCAAAGTCACAGTCAGAAGGGTAGATTTCAGTGCAGCAAGTCTGGCTTCAGAGTCCATACCCTTCACTACAATTTCATCACTAATTATTTATGAGATGAGGTCAAGGGAATGTGGGAGATCTGCTCCTACCAATTATTTGATAAATTGTCACACTGTTATAGGCTCAACATGCTCCTGCTGCACAACTCTGCTATCTTATTGGAGAACAGTTCTATTTTTCAAGTCCTGAAAGTTGTCTGGAATGCAATCAGCCTCAAACATGCATTGAGCATTCAGAACACTGCACTTAAGACACTATCACCTCTATTCCTGGGGCATTTGTATTTCCGTTTGGAAACTGTGGTAAACTATTATGATGTTTTCCACCCCAAACCCCCCTTCTGTTGAGAACTTCTCTCTCAGCCCCCTTCCTCTTCAACCCTGTGATCCCAATGAGAACTACCATGTTCATGCATGTCTTCTTTGGCCACAGCTGATGGATCTAGAGGTATATCTGGCTGGCTTTATTGAACTAGATCTGGGAAATGAGAGTTTGGTGAATCTAGTGGCAGGAGTTGTAACATAGGCTTGGCATAATTGCTGTGCATTCTCCACCATATAAAGCAGGGGTCCCCAACTCCTGGGCCGCGGACCGGTACCAATTTGTGGCCTGTTAGGACCCGGGCCACACAGCAGGAGGTGAGCAGTAGGTGAGTGAGTGAAACTTCATCTGTATTCACAGCTGCTCCCCATCACTTACATTACCACCTGAGCTCTGCCTCCTGTCAGATCAGCAGCAGCATTAGATTCTTATCGGAGCACTGACACTATGTGAATGCACGTGCAAGGGATCTAGGATGCATGCTCCTTATGAGAATCTAATGCCTGATGATCTGTCACTGTCTCCCTTCCGCGCCCCCCCCCCACCAGATGGGACTGTCCATTTGCAGAAAAACAAGCTCAGGGATCCCACTGATTCTATATTATGGTGAGTTGCATAATTATTTCATTGTATTTTGCAGTGTAATAAAGTGCACAATTAAATGTAATATGGTTGAATTATCCCGAAATTATTTCCCTCAAAGGTCCACGGAAAAATTGTCTTCCACAGAACCTGTCCCTGGTGCCAAAAAGGTTGGGGACTGCTGACATAGAGGACATTGCTTTACAGCCATTAGGATTAAACCCAACAGACAAACAGAAACACAGCTGAGAGCTGGAGAGAATGCTTAGATCCCATTTCTGTAAGTTTTAGCCACATACCTCCCTACTGAGGGCCAGCTCGGCCGTAGAGACCTCCACCCACGCAGTGCTGAAGAAACTGAGAGGCAGACACCCAGACGGAACAGCAAAGTGGGTCTGTCTGGGGATCCAGCAGCCTTCTAAACCGAGAACCTCTGAGGCTGACAGCATTCCAGGCCCCAGGCAGCTTCTGATCCACGTATTTATTATCTCTGAACAGGTGAGTATTATTAACAAACAGGTGTCCTGTATTTTCTCCTAACACAAAAATACACCAAGTAGGCAGCTGTTGCCCACTTACCACTGATTACAACCAAATTAAAAAGTATTCTCCACGAGGGAGCCACGGGGGCAGTGTCAGCTATCTTAAATAATTGTTTTTACCAGTGTATGATATTTATACCTTGTCCTGCCACTTTAGAATGCCCCAAGTAGTTTTTTACTTTTTGCGGAGGGGAGCAGCTAGGTTTTCCTTGCCATCATTCTTTCTAGCAAATAGTATATTTTATCAAACACTCAGCATTTCTCAATATTCATAAACTTAACATTTTCTCAACACCTCCCTTGCCTCAATTTAGGTCACATGAGATAAACCTGTAGCCTTCTCAAATATTTTCTTCTTTCTTAAGCTAATTAGAGTTCTGCCACTTGGGGTCAAAAAGGGTTCTGGGCAGGAGCAGTGGCTTATGCCTGTAATCCCAGTACTATAGGAGGCCAAGGCAGTTAGATCACTTGAGGTCAGGAGTTCAAGATCAGCCTGGCCAACATGGCTAAACCCCATCTCTACCAAAAATACAAAAATTAGTGGTGGCACATGCCTATACTCCCAGATATTCAGGAGGCTGAGGCAGGAGAATTGCTTCAACCCAGGAGGTAGAGGTTGCATTGAGCCGAGGTTGTGCCACTGCACTCTAGCCTGGGTGACAAAGTGAGACTCAGTCTCAAAAAAAAAAAAAAAGGAGGGATGGGGTTCTGACTAACACAAGCATAAAGGATTCATAAACATAAAAAAACCTCAAAAACACCTTTATAAAATAACATGTGAAAAACAACTGCTGTATCACTATAAAGTGACATGTAAATATATACAGAGAGTTTGATCAGTAGTGATTGGCAACTGTCCACTCAGTTAACATTGCCAGGTGGTTCAGTTTCAGCTACAGTTCTTAGGACTGTCCATCTTCTCTGACCCCAGAAATTTTATAACTAGGTGGTCCTCTATACTTTAAACCATGGCAGTTTCCCAGTAGTTTCCCGAGCTCTTAAAGAATCTGGAAGATATATATTCTCCCCACCCCCTGCAGCAGGGATAGATAGCATGGGGAGAAATGCCAGATATAGGTGATGGGGAGGAAGGCAGCAAATCACACTGCCATGTGTGTGCCTATGCAACAATCTTGCATGTTCTTCACATGTACCCCAAAACCTAAAATGCAATAAAAATAAATAAATAAATAAAGACTCCAACTCCGTTGCCCTTGAGATAAAGAGACTATCCTTGTCACATGAGCCCTTGAAATCCATGGGCTAGACAGCAGAGTCAAGAAAAGTTGGAGAAATTCAAAGCAGAGGGGATTCCATGCACAAGAGAGTCTCTGTTGCTGGCTTTGAGATGCAGGGGGCCAAAAGTCAAGGAATGTGGGTGGCTTCTGGGAGCTGAAAGCAGCCATCAGCTGAAGTCAAAAGTCACAGTCTTACAACTGCAAGGACCTGAATTCTGCCAGCACCCTGAGTGAGCCTAGCAGGGGATTCTTCTACAGAGCCTGCAGGAAGGGACGTACCTCCAGCTGACGCCTAGATGCTGTCCCCATGAGACCCTGAGCCGAGAAGCCAGTCACACTGTGTCCAGGCTTCTGATGTACAGAATTGTAGCTAATAAACAGATCTTAGTGAAGGAAAAAAAAAGAATCTGGAAGATATATATTCTAAGTCAAAATGGTACAGAAGATAAAACTCCACAATAAAGCAACAGATTTTTAAATATGTATTGTGGAGTCTAAACCCCAAGTATGCACAAAAAGATAAACACCACATGTTCTCACTTATAAATGAGAGCTAAACAATGTGTACACATAAATATAGAGTGTGAAATGACAGAAAATGGAGATTCAGAAGCGTGAGGGAGTTGGAGGAAGGTGACTGCTGAAAAATTACTTAATGGGTACAATCTGAGTGATAGGTACTCTAAAAGTCCTGACTTTATTGCTATGCAATCTGTATATGTAACAAAGTTACAATCGTACCTCATACATTTATACAAATTTCTAAAATTTTAATAAACCCAAAGTGCAGTCTTCTCCCTTCAAACCTGGAAGTCTAGGACTTTCCACTTAGCTCCATGAGGCTACCATATCTCAAAGCAACAATGGAACTCCATTTGAGGGATGGCCTTCACAGCTTACCACCTATCCATCTGAATAGTCTCAGTGGTACCAAATCTTTATCACTGGAGAAAAGTCTTGACTTTTGAGATGACCCAAATATTTGGAGCCAAGTTTGTTGATTAAGGTGAGTAATCAAACTTAGAAAACCATTTATAATATTTGAGTATAAATTTAAAGATAGATTTTTCTGGCATTATTTACAAACTGCCACTGACAGGTGGTTTTGCTCAGTTGTGTACTGCTATAATTTTGTAATACAGTATAGCTTAACTGCAAAGTAAAATTTAACATCTTATTTATATGATTTATCTAATCACATTCATAAATGAGGAGAAAGAAAACTTCTTCTCCCTAAATTCAAGCTCTTACAATAAAAGGAAAAGGAGGGCCAGATGTGGTGGCTTATGCCTGCAATCCCAGCACATTGGGAGTCCAAGGCAAGAGCACTGATTGAAGCCAGGCGTTTGAAACCAGGCTGGGCAATAGCAGACCCTATCTCTAAAAAAAAAAAAAAAAAAAAATTAAAATTAGCTGGGCATGGTAGTGTGCATCTGTAGTCCCAGCTACTCAGGAGGCTTAGGTGGGAGGATTGCTTGAGCACAGGAGGTTGAGGCTGCAGTGAGCTATGATAGTGCCACTGCACTCCAGCGTGGGTGACAAAGTGAGACCCTGTCTCAAAAGCCCCCAAAATGCAAAAGATGTGCTGTCAAAATTGATATAATATGCAAACTTGTAAAACAATCAGGTGTGATTTTTATAGAGTCCTCACTTCCAACCTCAATAATACTGAATTATCTGGACTGTCCTCTAGCCCAAGGGAAGCATTTATTACCCAAGGGATGAGAAGTGACAATATGCCAAAATTCTTTAAAAGTGCTTATTTTCTCTTTGAAAAACGTAGTAATTAAAAATATAAACAGGGTTTTTTTTTTTTGTTTTTGGGTTTTTTGCCTTTTAATAAGTTTTCATCCTCCACATTCTTTTGCCCACCCTATGAGACCAATGAGTCTACTGAAGATACTCCCAGTGCCCAGGAGATAAGGACATTGGAGGATGCTCTTAATATTTTCAGAAATGTTACCACTATGAAGAGCACTTCCAAAATCTCCTTTTCACATATGCTCTGTGAAGTTATCCAACACAAAGGCTTCAAAGCAATTGCCCGAGTTTCCCAGAAAATAAATACATCTGATTTGAAAAATCTTACATCAGCAAGATTGCGCAAATATTATTTGTGCCAGTTAGTTCTTAAGTAAATAAAAAAGTAAAGTCCCAGAAAATCTTTTTAAATGTCATTTTTTTCAAATGCTACAAATAGAACTGTGACATGGCGTGGCAAGGCTGGCTGTTTATGTGTACTGTTTTACTGTTTCATATTCTGAGAAAACAGAGAAGCTATTTTCTCCAAAGAGTTCAGGAGGGCATACAATTTCATTTCTTCAGAAAATTGTTTCTCAGGATTTCAATCTTCTTAGCTGGAGATGACAAAACATAATATCAGAAACATTTATGCTTTTTATCTGCTATATTTTCAAAGCATAAATAAAAGCTCAGTATACATTTAAAACAGGTGGATTCCAACTTAGGGATAAATCACATACATATTGCAAAATAGTTTTATGATGTAAGAACATTTTAATTTTAAAATGTTTAAGACACACCAACATAAAAATAAGCTCTTTAAAATGATTTTGCATTGTCACTCTTATTTTACTTCAGTAGCATTTGATTTTCTAAATCTTAGAGTTAATGAAGCAACTGATAAAAAATTAAATGGATTTTTAGAAAAAGGAATTCAAATGGGCACCATTCAGCTAAAGCTTCCTCTTTCTCTTTCTCTACACAGTGGAGAGCACTATTTTGGTTTTCAACCTCATTACACTTCTATTTATAAAGCATAGTGTAAAAACTTTAAACCTCAAATGTTTTAAGAATAAAACAAATCATGCATCTCTGAAAAGATGAGCATAATGGCTTTTTTTGTAGCATGCCTAGTGCGCTTCTCAACTGGTCTTACACAGCATTAACTGAGCAATTCCCATTAGCATTAATATGCTCTTAAGTTTCTACTGTCCTATCATTTAAACAATAATTTGAAGATCAATTCAATTTCATGGGAATTTCACTATTCCAGGCTGGTTTTGTGGCTTTGTGACATAGAGAAATTTAGTTATTGAGATCACTTAAGGATTTGTGGTCTTTTGTGGGGTAATGGAACACATACATACACACATATGCCATTAAACTTATGTCATGGATAAGACAAATTAAAAAATAAGGTCATTTCTGAGGTATTGATGCCCATCACTCTCCAACCCTTCTCTCAGCTCCCAGCTTGTTTGCAGACACCACAGCAAAATATCAGGGTTGGTCCCTTAAAGGATTTAAGGGACACTTAAAGAATACTTGAGTCCTTATTCCATTCTTGCATTGAAACATATCTCTAGGAGATCTCTGGTCATACACCAATTTCTGATTTGGGAGTTAGCATCGTATCTCGTTAGTAGAGTTCTCCACATGTAATAGGTGTTCGATATATGCTTGAGTTGAAATAGCACCTATAAGATCACGTCCATGTAACTGTTTTGCCCAATTAGCCACAAGCAGAAGTATCTGAGGACAGAACAAGAGTCTTTAGCACGGTTGGGGGTATGGGAGAGCACAGGAAATAAAATCCTACCTGAAAACTCAAAATTCTTATGTAACTGAACAAGATTTAGAAAGAGGCTTCAGTGTATCTGAGCAACAATATTCTTAACATCCAAAGTTATTTCTAATGGTTGCAAGAAAATTCATAAAAGTCACCATTATATGCTTTAGGCAGTTTTTCATTTTACAGTTTCTCATTTGTTGGGAACGGGAGAGGCCTGAGGAATAAGAGCATTGCACTAAAACTGATAGGCTGTGAGACTTCTGAACTTCCACACTAATAAACCTACAAACATTTCAGCAAGTCTTTGGGATGCTCTGGCAACTCACTGTGCACTTTACCAATGATTCTGATCCAATCTTAGTTTAACTTACTAGGATAAGCCCCGAAAATGGCCAGTTCTAAACAGCTGTATCCACATTCATCAAGAAAATGAAACACAGGCTCTTCTGCTATAAGCAGTATTTCAGAAAATATCTGTACTGTGCAAAACCACAGGACTTCTAGGTAAAATAGGATTAAGAGCAGACCATTCAGAACTTAAGCAACTTTTTAACAAGAACACCAACAAAAATAACAAACCTAATAAAATATTCTCAGTTAAATATATATTTTAAAATATGTATATATATATTTAACTTCCTGATTTAAAAGATACTGTGAACACAGGGGGGAAAATGAATATTTTACTACAGTAAAAGAAACAGAAAGAGAGAGGCTAGCTTGATGGAAGGCATAAAATGAAGAACCGAAGCTACTGACTTGAGGAGACAAAAGCAAAATACCCCTAAATTAGAGAAAGCCACACAATAAGGACTTCTGAGACAAAGTACATGGCAAACTGTTTATGGCGTAATATTTCCCCTAACTTAGGCTATAAATTCTATACTCTATGATCTTCCATAGCTGGCTGTATTCAGCTGACAATGCTTTGCAATATAAAGCATTAATAATCTGAGAAAAATCATGTATGACCAACATGACTTCTAAATTACACTAGCTTCATTTTCCTATTTTCCAGTTACATAAGCGCTAACTCATATTACAGAAACACAGAACAGACTCTACTGCGAAAGTTGTTGCCCAAATATAGAGATGGTATTTTTTGGAAAATAGAGATAGCTCAGTGTCCTATTGTCTCATTAGTTCTGTAACAACCTAAAGGAAGACGTCTGAAACAAATAAGCCTCCAAGATCCACCTAGTTCTTCCATTGTAGGAATATTCAATTCCGAAGGCTCAAGGGCAATTTAATTTTTTTAATGATAGGTAAATGGCAATAAGTATAGATGTTACAAATGTAGATGACAACCAATGTAGGTATTATCTGGCAGCAAACTATTGCGTGGTACCTTCAGTAGAATAGGAGTATTCCATAGAGAGGAATAGCTATGATTCTCAAATTCCAGCACAAGGAAGAGGCTCAGTCAAACAAGAGGACAGTTCATCAAGTCACCCATCAAGAATACTCATGCTTTGAAACACTTGTGCCCAAGTCCTATTGGGGCTTATAGATACAGGAGAGGATCTTTTCATTCACAGACCTTTGAAAATGCACTCATGGTAGTTGACATTTTCCACATTTTTGGATTGTTCAATTAATTCATGACAAACAGGCTATGTTCTACCCTTGCTTTTCAACAAAAGAATAAATTTGTCCAGGCCTCTTTCTTAGGCTCTTCTTGATTTTAAGCAGCTAGCTTTTATAATCTATTTTATCCAGCACAAACTCTGAAACACAAAATAGAAGCAGTGGTTGACTTCCATCCTGCCTTTTGTTTTACCTTGTTGGCCCCGTTTTGCCCTATTTGAATAGTACTGAATATCCTTCACATTCTGTTCTTAATGGGGTTATTTACCTTGCATACCCAATGAGACTGTACTTTATATTACAAGTTCTCTGTTCTGAGATATGTCTGAGAGGGCAGCCTATTCAGCTATTAAAAGGTACAACCTTTTAACTGAAAGCAGTCTTAAGGCTTGACACAACTTTCATAGTGAGCTTTCAATTACGCAAAGATGTCACCATAGCATACAGAGGTGTTTACATTTACATACACAAGTAGATCAGCCACACGCATACCCACTAACTTTGCAAAATGGCTAGTAAAAAAAGCTCATTTTTGCTACATGTGTATTGCCCTTGCTTATGTGTGTTAATGAAAAACATGTGTGCTAGTAATGCACACAGGGCAGTAAAGAACAATCATTTTTCACGCATTACTATTGCTATCAATTATGGATGCTAATGAAATGCATGGGACTACAATGCATATGAACTCTTCAAATTTCCTTTTAGCCAATAATTCTTCCCTCCACACTTTTTACCAGAAATGATCACACTGACCACCTTAATTTTCTTTTATTATATTATTTCCCAGATGGGAAAAAATGACCAGCAGAGAAATGGCCAAAAGCCTGTAAGCAGAAAAGGAATGAGGAAGAAGCGAATAGCCCAGGTAATCCACAATTTGGTCAATAAGTTTGGCTTTACCTCTTTGATGGGGTGGTGATAGAGGGAGGAAGGAGGTGGTCAATGGTTGGAGGCTAGAACAATTTTTTTTTTCACTTATTTAGGCTTATATATGTCATTGTATTTGAAGGTAATAATAAAAATAATTTTTAAATCTTTTTTCCCTAAAATCTAGCTGACTTTTGCACATCTTACTCTCAGATTCTCATGAACATTCTCACCTAGTCTGCTTGATTAAATGTTGTGCTGACCTAAAGACAATACGTTTTTAGTGGTATGTAAAGGCACTGGAAGAGCAGCTCTCTTAAGCCAAAGTGGGTTGGTCTCAACTCTCAGGAAAAGAGTAATTAAAAGGAGAATCTCCCCCTGGACATAAATCATCTCCTCCATCTCTTCTGCAAAAGTCCCAGGAAAATCTAGCCTGTATATTAATACTAGTGCTTAGAGGCTTATAGGTTATTTCTAGAGAATTCAAATATTTACTGATAATCTATCTTCCAGGTACTTGGACTACAGCAGGGAACAAAACATTCCAAAATTTTTAGCAACATGGATTTTCCTTTCTATTGAGAGAGGGGGTATAATAGACTAAATAAGTAAAACACAGAGTATGTTAGTTGGTGATAACATTGCTACTGGATGTTGGTGATAATAGAAAAGCAGACAGTTTTAATGGAGGGGGAAATATAGGGAAAGAGAAGATATTTTAAATGCAGTATGCTCAGGTCAGGGACAAGGCATATCTGAGTAAAGATCTTAGGGGTCAACCCAAGCAAAGACTTTCAAGGCAGGACCATAAACAGAAAGGACTCTGAGCAAGAGTATGCCCAGTATGTTGGAGGAACAGCCAGGGCACCAGTGAGGTCAGACAGACAGGATAATAAGAAGGGAAACAGCAAGCATGGAATGGTGGTGGGTAGTGTAGGACCTTGTATGCCATCAAGATAATGAACTTCTACTCTAAATAAGATGGGGTACTAGAGGAGGGTTTTTAATGATAATCCTGTGAACAGGATCACTCTGGCTGCTGTTGAGAATGAACTGTGAGGAAAGTAATTAAGTGCCTGCTACAATAACCCAGCTTAGAGGTGAGAGGGGCTTGGAGCTGTAAGAAAATACATTTTTCTTACAGGCATCATTTAAACCTACTGCATATCCATCTTAAAAGCTGAGTCAAATGTTTGAGGAATAACAAAAGGACCCTGTGAAATCTTGGGTCTCTATGGAGCTCAGCATGAAAACTAGAGCTACCTAGGCTGCTGGAAAAGATGCATACTCTGCAAAGACTGATGGAGATGGCCCCAGACTTCTCTTAGGAGGTATCAGCAAGGCGGAGGCTGTTGAGGTGGCTGG